GGGCGAAAGATTGACTGGCAAACATGCTCCGGTATACAGTAGTTAATACGTTAAAACGTTGAAATAAAATACCTACCCCTGCATGCACTTTTCTTGATTTCATAAATGATGTCGTCAATCTGCTTGAAATTGGTGAGAACGGAGACATGCGTGCAGTCTGGATCACTGGCAGCAGAGTTCAACTCTGCAATGTTGATATTCCCTATCCCCACAGCAAATATCCTAATGTGATTAGCCTTCGCATCATCGGCCGCCTGCTTAGTAAATGTAGCAGAGGATGACACTCCGTCTGTGACCAGAATGGCTATTTTTGTTGCGTCCTTTCTGCCACCATATAAAATAGGAAAGACATACTTGTCTGCATGCTGAATTCCTGCCCCAATGCTGGTCCCTCCACTTCGATATCGGGTGTTCAAAATGGCGGACTTCAGAGATGTTTTTGTCGAGTGTGTTCCTAGGTAGAATTCAAGAGTTGCCCTTGTGTGGAACTTGACGAGACCAACCTGCACAGCTGTAGATCCGATGTTCAGATCGTCGACTACTTCCGTTAGGAAAGTGAGTATTTTAGCGAAGTTTGAAGAGCCGACGCTTCCCGATTCATCAATGATGAAGACAATGTCGATGGGTTTGTAGTCACAAGAGTCTGAACGGAAACGAATAAAATTTTGTTTCAGAGTTAAATGCATAGTAAAACCTCGTTATACTGTTACCATTTGTCCAGAGAAGTCTTTATAAATCGTAATAAGGAGTTCTACCGATAAAATGAGGGAAAGGTACAAAGGAACTATTAAGAAAATGATATAAGATTGAAAACAATGTTGGCAATAGGTGAGGCAGAAATTGGTAGTAAGGGGCGTTGAATCGAGGTTTTACTTTATATAAGACCCCCGTTCCACTGCCAAAACCACAGCTTAACGTAAGTAGCCTTTTTCTTGCATAACTTTATCTTTATTATCGAGTTCTGAAATGAAAACTATCTCTTGGTGAAGTTTTAAGGAAAATAGCAATATAAACGAAATATAAACAACTGTGCTATGAGTGAAAAGATTTAGAGAAACTTCAGAGGTCCACATATTTGTATACTGTCGGAAAACGATATTAAGGGGCGGTTACTGTATACAGGAAAACCAGAGTGCAGTTGCACATGGATCGGGGATCATCAACAAGCGGGGATTGTCATGTCAGTCCCTGGACACACATATCTCGTCAAGCTATTAATTTAAGAAATAGATATATTGGTTCTAAGTTTTCCATTTGTATACAATACACGAGTAAAAATAAACATTTTCATGCACACATCATATTACGCTCCATACTGGGGAGCAACATTGTTAATATGTTTTTGGTAAGATGTATAAAGGTGTACCGAAAGAAAATGTCAACAAACAAGTTGATGATGAAGAATATATGGAGTAGTACATTTTAATTGCTACAAGTTTAATTAGATGCAAGTATTTCTTTGTAAAATGTTGTACTGTAGGCCAAATCATCATCACTACACTTAAAAAATCTGGCAAGTACATGAATCTAAAGATGGCCGTACCAGTACAAAAATATGAAACCTTAAATTTGAAACTTTTTACATGCATGCCAATTGCTTCAATAAGTCATGCATGATATTTCTGATAAGAAATCCATACTATTGACACTTTTATGAAGAAAAAAAATAAAGATGGAAAATAAAATAATCAACTTCCGTTGAAATTTGCCCCATAGTTTGTTCTAATGACAGAAAGACGGACGGACAAGCTGATTCTAGTATACCCCCCTAACTTCGTTGCAAAATTAAAGGGACTTGGCTAGCTATTTGATTCCTCTCTGGTAAAAAAACTGACCATTACTNAAATAAAATAAATCAACTTCCGTTGAAATTTGCCCCATAGTTTTTTCTACGAACAGAAAGACGGACGGACAAGCTGATTCTAGTATACCCCCCTAACTTCGTTGCGGGGGTATAATAAAGTGTATAATAGTTTTACTATTAAGATTTTTTTATTGTTTTCAAATAATTGCATATCTTTGTATATATCACAATCTCAACCTTAAGTAGTTCTCCGGAGGAAAGATTATTTTGGCAGAATACATATTTATGAGTTATTACTGCTGCACATAACTTTAAAACATGCGTAATATAATAAAGTGTTTTGGTATGATACAAGAACAGAAAATGTATCGGTATTTACCATAATAGACATTGATAGTGAAATCCCCATGATTATGTGAANATGACATTATCGAGGATGGTCTGCAGTGGGACAAGGATCCTGAAATCATTTAATCTACGAATTAAAATAAAGAGTAATCACTAATACACTTACCGTCCGCCGTACTCTCTTTCTGTTGGATCTTTGTTGTATACGTTGTCAGGTTCTGAGTTGGTTGGAAATAACTTTTCCACAAAGATGCTTGGCCGGCTAGGTCGCCAGGGGCTGGGTCAGCCCCTTGCAGTTTGAGATATAGGGACGCTGCTAGGCCGGAGTACAGAGGCTTCAGGAGGTCAGTCCACTGGACACTTGACCAGTCGATTTGGAACTCGGATAAGATGATACTACATTCCTCGCGTATTGTGTAATGGGCGCAGTTCGTTGTAGTGTTAAACTTGTCTTCATCAACCTGTAGCCAGAATATGAAAGCATCGTGAACCAATCAACTCGACCTAACTCGACCTATACTATGTAATATGAACGTAATGCACTCACGTGATTGCCCTTATACTATTTGGTAATGGATGCAGCATGCCAAAAGTGAATAACACTGCACCATTCAGCTGTTTTAGTTCTTCCAAATCTTATCTGTGATGCTAGAAGCCAAAAAAGGATATTATCAAAACATTCGTTGAAACAGAAGAAACATACGGAAGAGGGGACTCATACGTTATATAATAAGCTGAATGTCAATGGATATTAGAATGTCCGAACATTTTAGAGCAACATATGATGATAAATTAGTTTACGCTAATTATTACTTTTGTGTAAATCAATACATGAGTCTTAAAACACAATGGAGCATTCGAGAATGTTTTTGAGGTATTAGGACACAAATTTGAATAATACAAAAATCGCGTTTAAATGTTAATGGCAAACAGTTATGATAATAAATTCAGAATTGTTAGAATCGTTATTTTTAAACAGAAATAGATGTGCAGTGTGCTGCCATTGCACCAGAAATCAAGGCTTTTAAAGTTTTAAGGCACTGGACATGCATGATGACAAAAACTTTTTAAAAAAAAAACGTAAAAAAGAAAACAGGACAAGGTAAGAACCAGTGTTGAATTGTTCGTGTGTCCATGTAAGAAAGATATAATGAGTAAAAGTATTAAAGCGACCGTTCTGCACTCAGTTTGACAAAATTATATTATATAAGTCATCAAATTCTTTACGGCACGTAAGAAAATAAAACTTAATTCCTTTTTGTTTTATATCTTTGACTGCTTTCACATCCTCAGTGTGGTAATAATGGAAAGTTTCATACATTTTCTATGTAGAAAA